TAGGAGGATTAGGAAATGACCCAATGACCCAATCTTTGGACAACTGAGCATTGGGGTAATTACTTTCTCTCCAGGAGATAAGGAGATTGAAATAAATTATACTGGTTCCTTCTAGCCTTAAATTAAATAAATAGGTGATTAAAAAAAACAAAAACACCTGAGTAATGAGACTTAATGATGCACTGATTAATCATTTCAATTCCATTACTAGCTTTTCCATCAATAGAAATTATTAATTCACTCATTTACCTTAATGTATTTTCAATTGTTTTCTTCTTGTTTTCTCAACACCAAAGCATGTGGCTGTCTTTTAAGAAATATTCATCCTTCATCTCCTCCCTTCTTCATTCACTCATTCATTCAAAGGAGGATTACTATTTTGTTATATTAGGAACAAGGCTGAACTAGTATATCAGGCACTAGGGATGCAAAGGTAAACAAAACAGGCATGGTCTTTACTCTCTTGAAATTGACAGTCCAACAGAGATGGCCAATATGATAAGCACACTAAAATTTCAATTATTTCAGTAATGCTAATAGCAAAGATTTTCTACAAACGTATAAATAGGGGCACCTGGGGGCTCAATGGTTGAGCCTCTGCCTTTGGCTCAGGTCGTGATCCCGGGGTCCTGGGATCAAGTCCTGCATCGGGCTCCCTGGAGGGAGTCTGCTTCTTCCTCTGCCTCCCTGTGTCTCTCATGAATAAATAAATAAATAAAATCCTTAAAAAAAAAAAAAAGGACCTATAAATAGGGGGATCTGATCAAGTCAAGGAAAGAGAATGTGTCCCTGAGAAGGGGACCCTTGATCTAAACTCTGTTTACAGAAGTCAGCCCTAACCAAAGAAAAAAAGGAGCAAAATAATCTATTCAAGAAAACAGCACAAAGGCCTTACAGTGGAAGCACACATGTTGAACATGAACTAAAAGAAAACTCAATGTGACTAAAATAAAGGGGGAATGCATGTTGTATATTGAGCCTGGAGAGGAAGACAGGTTGTATAGTCACAAAAAAGTTAGAAGCAAGACTGATATGACTGGATTTGTGCATTATAAAGATGACTCTGCAACGTGCAGATGGATTTGAAGGGAGGCCAACATGGTATATGAAGTAGGAGGCTATCATAGTAGTTCAGAGAAGAGCAAATCACAGGTAAATGAGGATACAGACTGGAGGGACGGTAAGTGGATTTCAGAAATATTTAGATAAAAACAAATAGATTTGGGTGATGGATTGGGTATGGGTAGTGTATCTAGTGCTTTATAAAAGAATTACCTTAAAAGTTAGCAGTTTACGATAAATACCTCATAATTTCTGTGTCAGGAATCAGGGTACAAATTAGCTGGGTGCCTCTGACTCTGGCTTAGTCATAAGGTTGCAATCGAAGCACTGACCAGGGATGCATTTACCTTAAGGCTTGGCCAGGGAAGGATTAACTTCTAAGCGTACTTGTGTGACTGTTGATATCAAGTCCTCATTGATTGTGGACTAGAGACATCAGTTCCCTGCAACATGGACCTTTTAAGGGGGTACTCACAATATAGCAACTGGCTTTCTTCATGTAAGGATAGGTAGGGAGAAGAATCAGAGCAAGGGAGTGAAAGAAACCAAGCATGAAGGAAATCACAATCTTTTTGTAATCTAATGTTGGAAACGACATCTCAGCACCGTATTGTATTCATTAGAAACAAGTCACTAGGCACATGACACTTACAAGGGGAGGTTACACAAAGGGCAATTATACCAGAAAGTGGGGAATCACTGAAGGTCATTTTGGAGGCTGCTATATTATAGGGAGTGAGCATGCAGGAGGCACTGTGGTATTAATGAGATTGGGAAGGATGGAAAAGGCCCAGGTTCAGATAAGTTATGTTTTGGACATGGTGAATTTGAAAGGACAAGGTACCTTTAATCCAATCAGCAAATATGTATTTATAAAACACCTACTATGTGTCAGGCACTACTTTAGTAGTTGGAAGTAGTTATATAATGATGAACACAGAAAAAACCCTTGCCCTCATCAAATTTACCTTCTGATAACTAAAGACAGATGATAAATATATGAACAAATAAATTTAGATAATGATTAGGGTAGAATGAAAACTAACACAGGACAAAGTTGTGAGTTTCTTTTCAGCTATAATGTTAAAATATGCTTTTCAGAGACCCAAATAGATTGCTAGAAAACTTAGATGTGGGGATCCCTGGGTGGCTCAGCGGTTGAGCATTTGCCTTTGGCTCAGGACGTGATCCTGGAGTCCTGGGATCAAGTCCCCCCACATCGGGCTCCCTGCATGGAGCCTGCTTCTCCCTCTGCCTGTGTCTCTCCCTCTCTCTCTCTCTCTAATGAATAAAATAATAAAATCTTTAAAAAAACAAAAACAAAAAAAGACTTAGATGTTCTCTAGATTCCTCCTGTACTCCCACTGACTTTTGCTTCTCCTACAGCATTTTCTTTTATAACTTTTAAAAATATTTTATTTAAATTCAATTTTCCAATATATAACACCCAATGCTCATCCCATCAAGTGTCCTCCTTACTGCCCATCACCCAGTTATTCATTTCCCCAACCCACCTCCCCTTCTGCAGCCTTTTGTTTCCCAGAGTTAGGATTCTCACATGGATTGTCTTCCTCTCTAATTTTTCCCCACTCAGTTTCCCTCCTTTCCCTATTAGTTCCTTTCACTACTTCTTATATTCTACATATGAGTGAAACTGTATGATGATTGTCTTTCCCGATTGAGTTCTTTCACTCAGCATTATACCCTTCAGTTCCATTCATGTCGAAGCAAATGGTAGGTATTCATCCTTTCTGATGGCTGAGTAATATTCCATTATATATATATATATATATATATATATATATATATATATATATCACATCTTTATCCATTCATCCTTAAAGCATTTATCTAAAAGTACTTGTGCACGTCACCCTTTGCTAGGCCAAAAAATGTGACCACCCCCCAACTCCAAGATGCCCACATGTAAATGGGAAAAAGGTATTTGGGGAAAAGGTCTTGCAGAGGTGACTAAGAATTTCCAATAAAGTGATAACCCTGAATTATCTAAGTGAGCCCTAAACACCATCATAATAGTCCTTGTAAGTGACACTGAAAGAAAACACACATAGGAAAAGAAGAGGCAGTATGACCAAGGAGGCAGACACTGGAGAGAGATGCAGTCACAAGTCAAGGAATGCCAAAAGCCACGAGAAGCTGGAAAAGGCAAAGAGCAGATTTTCTTCCAAAGCTTCCAAAAGGAGTGTCACCCTGCTGACACCTTGATTTTGGACTTCTGGCCTCCAGAACTGTGAGAGAATAAATTTCTGTTAAGCCACCCAGTTTTTGATAACTTGTCACGACAGCCACAGGAAACTAATAGACCCTTCCAATGTTATTCCTTAACAATAGATTCCTGGGATTTATCACAAGTTGTACATACTTATTCACTTATTAGGTCTTGCCCCTATTAATGTGTAAGCTCCGTGAAGACCGGGCCTTCCTTGTACACCTAGCTTTTGGCATAGTGTCTAAACTGTATTACATCCCTAGAAATTACCCATTAAATGAATGAAAGCAAAAATGTTCCCCAGGAGATAACAAGCCTTATAAGATAAGAGACCACGTTTATAGGCCATAATTCCCAAAGTCTTATCAAAAACTACTGTTGTACTAGGTATGAGCTCTAGAAATCAGGGATTCTGGATTCTAGATATTGTACTGCAATTTACAGGTATGTGGCAACCTCATCTTGGCCTTTGTACACACCTGGTATTAGATTTAGTGTGTTCAAATAAGTTTGTTCCTTATCAGTTTTTCTTAGCTCTGATAAGGAGCAGGTCCAGATAGCATTCATTATTTTATGCTGTACATGATCCACAGTCATTGCATATTATATGGAACACAAATATTTAAGACTTCTGGGTGAGTTCGAATATCAGGCTCAGTCATAACTAAAAACTAACATCATGCCCTTGAGTAAATTTGTAATCAATTCTGAAACGAAGTACTCTCAACCGAAAGGAGACTGATCTTTAACCTGTGAACATGAGAACTACCTAGCCTGGAGGAGGGGCTCTGTGAGAGGCACCTGGTCATTAGTAACACTATACCCCTGACCTAACTGGGCCTTGAGTAATAGAGCATCAGACAGAGCTTTAAACAAGCTCCACCACTTATGGAGCCATGTCATCTTGGGGAGGCCATTTCACCTGAGTCAAAAAGTGATAATAATACCTACATTCTAAGAGTGGTTCTGACATAGAAACTAAACGAAGTAACCAAATAAACTTAGGAAAGTGCCTGGCTCAATAATGGATGTATTTTCAGCAAAACAAAACAAAACAAAAGAACAACAACAACAAAACCACTTTTCTTTTTAAAGTGCCTGGCTCAATGATTTTCAACAAAAACAAAACAAAACAAAACAAAACACAAAAAACAAAAATCTTTTTTTTTTTTTTGGAACACGTGCAGTGATTTTGAGTAAATACTTCTACTTCTTGGGCCTTCTAAACAACGAACGGGAATTGCGAGCTGCCCCTCTTCGTGCCTCAACGAAACAAGAGTTTGGGAACCTTCAAACCAAAGGCTACATGATGATTCTATGACTCTTCGGCAACCTACTAGTTATCAGTGTTTACGAAGAGAGACCAGGCCGACGGGACAGGTTTTCTGGAAGAGTCCAGCACCTGCGGTAGCTAGCTCTTAAACAAGGCTCATTTTAGGCTTTTTTTTTCCCCGCCCCCTCGCAGACAGAGGTCACGACCTCAAGAGAGCACGGGGCACAGGTCGGGAGGGCCACCACCTCCACGAGAGTCCCTGAGTTGCCTGGGCAACGCCGACGTCATCGCGTAGCCTCCTCGGTCCGTCGGCGAGCAGCCCAATGGAGCTCAACGCGCAGGCGCCTGGTGGGAGCCAATGGGTGCGGCCCGAAGACGGGCGCCGCTCGGCCCCGCCCCTTTCCGCCGGAGCTCGGGGGCGGGGCGAGCGGGCGGTTGTCGGGGGCTCGGGCAGGGCGCCCCGGTTACGTAGGTGACGCAGGTTACGCGTCCAGCCAGTCCCCCGGGGCCGCCGGGAGCCCGCGCAGACCGCTGCGCCCTCGCAGAGCCGGGCGCGGCGATGGTGCGGGGCCGGGGCTCGACGTGGAGCTGAGGACAGTCGGGCCGACGCGCGAAGCCCTTCCCCGCCGTCGGGCTCGGGGGCTCTCGCCCGCCGGTTCCCAGCCGTCGGGGGCCCGCGTGACCTTCGTGCCCCCGCAGGCCCCGGGCCCCCCGCGGGAATGTTCAAAAATGAGTACCAGGTAACCCGAAACGGCGCTCCGACCTGTCTAGAGCATTCTCTTGGGGGACCTAGGTCGTGTTCAGGGTGGGGACAAAGCTCCCACTCCCCATAATTGAGTTGTTTTGTTTTGTTTTGTTTTGGGGGGGGTGAGAAGGAAAAGTACTGGATGAGTGCTCGTGACCACACCCTCCCCCCCCCCCAAAAAAAAAACAAAGAAAAAGGAAAAGATTAAGCAAACGACGGTGTGGGCATAGGATTGGGCTTGCTTGTTTTTTTTTTTTTTTTTTTTGGTTCCATCTCCAGCCCCGTTCTTTTCAAAGCGTCTGGATTGCCTGCGACTCCCGATTGAAATGCAGATCTTGCTTAAACCACTCCCGGCGTGGGACCTCCTGGGTCAGAACTCGGGGGGCGGCGCCCATGGACCCCGAGTTCTCTAGCCCGGTGCCTCGGGCGCTCGCTGAGGATGCGCGCGGACGCCTCGGAAGCTCTTCGGGAATGGAGTGGGTGGGCCCGTGGAAGTGCCTCTGAGCGCAACCAGAAACGGTCTTGCCCACGTGCTGCTGTTGTTGTTGTTGTTTACCCCCACCCCCACCCCACCCCCACCCACCACTGGGGTCCGTGATTTCCCAAACACTTGGGGGCTCACTTGTGAAAATGCGGCCCTCGCCCCAGATCCAGTGAGTGAGCGAGGACATCTGTAACCGCTCCCTCCCGTCGATGCTGATGCGCCAGGATCGCCCTGGGGAAACTGCTGGGCCTTCCTCTGTCACCCTGAGGATCCTAGTGTCTCCAAAACAGGGCTTGCTCTTCTCACCTCACCGGACCCCTCCCTGCTTGGCTTGGCTTTCTTTTCTTTTCTCTCTCTCTCTCTCTCTTTTTTTTTTTTTTTGACCCTAGCCTCCTGCCCTTCCCTCCCTTCTACCTGAGGTCACGGTCTCCGGTTTACCATCTGTTTAATAGTCCTGCGATTGTTTTCAGCAGTCCCCACCCACCCACCCACCCACCACACACACACACCCCATCCCCGTGCTGCAACTAAACTCTCTGTGGCCTCTACGTCTTTATACCAAATGCTACTTGCCTTCTTATGAGTGTCCTCCAAGCAGTCAGCTGTTCTTTCTTCTGCTCCCATTTGATGACCATTAAATGTGTTAGAGCAATTTAAGACAGTTTTTCCTCCCAATTAATATAGGTAAGATATATTGTTACAACAAAGCATATGGCCGCAGTAGAAAACTTGGAAAACAAGAGAAAGCAGAAGGAAGGAGGGGGGAGGGGGACAAGTATTTCACCAGGTACAAGGACTTTTCTAAAAAAAAAAAAAAAAACTGCCTCAAATTTAAAATTTTTATTGCTATCCGACCTAACCCCAGAAACTGTAGTACTCTACAGGAACTCTTAACCACACACAGTTTGCACATAATACTGCCCGAGGAAGAAGAAATGTAGTGTCTGAAGTTAAAGTGATTGTGCTAAAACTCAGAAACAAAAATATCTTTGTATTACTGAGAAGACTTAAAAGCTGGAAATTCTTTACAGAAATCAGGCAGATTTGCTCATGTGCTGCTTGTAATTCAAATAGACTATAAAAGAAACCCATCTTTAGTTTTCATTTCAGATTCTCAATTTCTTGCAATTACTCTTCCTCGGAGATAATCATCTTAATTCCTTTCTTTGATAATTAAAGCTTATGGATATTCAATAATGTGTTTAGTATTTTTACATAAGCATGGCCCTGCATGTTCTCAGGTTTAGAATAGGGAACACATAGCATGTCTATAGAAATGCTTCTCTGTTTTTCTTATATGAATTTTACAGATTTCCAAATTAATTTATATTAAATATATAAAAAGATCTTATAGGAATGCTCAGAATAACAGTCATCCTCCAATCTCTACTCATTCCCAAGCTTTTTTATTAACCAGTACCAAAATACTCAATTTGTCTTTTTTTTTTTTTTTAAATAATTATTGCTGGCACTACTGAGCCCTTACTACATACAAAGTATCGTGCTTGATGGTTTATGTCTACTATCCTAGGAACTCAACAACCCATTTTACAGATGGAGAATCAAGAGGTTAAATAACTTTCAAGGTCAGATAGTTAATAAATATCAAAGCTGATATTGGAGCTTGGGGCAATATGACTGGAAAGCTTGTAGCCACGGATAACATCAGAATTTATTAGCCTAGCTCTCGAGTTTAAACCCTTTAGTCAGAGATCAATAGAATGTTTTGTAAGCATGATTTATACATGGCAAGTAAATGAACCCCACAATGAAAGGTTGTAGGGTTTATACGGCATACTTTAATGTTTATCATTCTTAAAAAAAAAAAAATCTTTAAACCATATATCCAAGGTGACCCAAATCAGAATAGTTGGGGCTTAAGTACAATCAAGTTATAATGGAGGAGTTATAATAGGGATAATGTTTCCTCTGGGATCTACTTAACAGAAAGATGCCTGGAACAGTGGTTACAGACTGCGGTGGATAGTATTTCCTCCTTAGCATTGTCTTTCACTTTAAACATGGCATTTTTGTTTTCCAGGGAGGTGCATTTGTTGAAATCTTTAGCGCTCAGGGCAAAAATCCTGGAGCAAAATGGAAGATCGTTGGCAGTCCATCTGTGATTTGGAAGGTAAATGTTAGAAGTTAGAGCTACCTAAATCCTGGAAAAAAAGAATGAAGGGTTTGATAAGGTTTCAGAACGGTTTTTATTGCTCTTTCAAAGACCGTCTTATGACCTTGTTGGCTGCAGCTCTTCCAGAAATCATTCTTCAGTTCTTTCAAGACTTGAGCACATGGCTCGTAGCCCTTCTCTGCGGCCAAGTCCTACTGTTATTTTGGGTGACTTCAGTGTTTGTGAGGAAAACCTCTGCTAAGCCTGAGCTGCTCAGTTTCTTCATTTCATCATTGCTAATGACCTCTTCACTTTCCGTCAGCCCCCATCCCACTGTCTTACCCTTTACCCTTTCTTGGTAAACTGGGGGGCCTCTGAAATGATGAATAAGACCCTCTCCAACCTCGAGCTTCAGTTCTCAAGGCTGCCTGCTCAGTTATTCTCACTATATTTGTTCTTCGACCTAATGGAAACCACTACGCCATTGGCCTTTCTACTTCCCCTGTGCTCAGTTTTATTTAGGCATGAATTTTCTCTGTCTTTGCTTCCTCTCCTCTCCAGCCTAGAATCCAGAGTCTGTGATTTCAGTCACTTCTGGGGCAAAACCATGAAGGCTCTTGCTCTTTGTCCTCACAGAGGCCAGCCGTTTCTGAATCCCCAGTCGCCTGTCTTTTCTGAGTGGGGTCCTGTGCCCCTCAGTAACTTTCAGGAAAATATTGATACCATCTCTGATTAATAACACTATAAATTCAACCCGAACCGCCTGGGAAGTTCTCTTATGTTCTCTTAGTCTTTCAAGTGATGATTTCTCCATTGTCTTCAGATTTTCAATCACTAACTCTCTACTCACCTCCCCTGTCTACAACCAGGACAGGCTCTATTCACTGACACACCAGAAGACCTCACGCCCCATTCCACAGGGAAAACTGTTGCCATCTCATAGAAACTACCTCAGCCTGCACCACCGGACCTAAAAACTTAAATCCATCCCTATCCTTTTCTCTTTCTCTCCTCTTCTATTCAGTCAGGAAAAAAATGCCTTTCTGTGGACCTTGTTCTATGGGTAACTAAAAAAGGTACTGTTAACTGGTGCTTCCTGTATGTCAGGCCCAGTATTAGCATATTACATATATTTATACAGTTGCCTTATGTGATAGGTATGTTATTGCCAGTTTTCTGGATGCTAAAACTGAGGCCACGGGGAGAGTAAGCAACTTGCTTAAAATAATACAGCTCTTCCTGTGAATGGGAGATCAGTGATGCTGGAAGGGCATAGAGCAGAGAGCACAGTGAAGGCTTCCCCAGGGAGATGACACTGGATCTCTGAGAGCTAACTGTGCACTGTGTAGGGCTGGTGGAGACAAGAGTGTTTCAGGCACAGGGAAAAGCCCATATAAATTCCTTTTTCGGGAGGGAGCTTAGAATTTTTAAGAAATTGCAACAAGTCTACTACGGCTAGGATACAGAGAAAAGAGGGAGTGCAAGGGAGGAGATTGAAGTTTGAAAAACCAAGCAGCTGGACACCTGAATGGCTCAGTGGTTGAGCATCTGCCTTTGGATCACGTTGTGATCTGGGGTCCTGGGATGGAGCCCCAAATCAGGCTCCCCACAGGAAGCCTGCTTCTCCCTCTGCCTGTGTCTCTGTCTCTCTCGCTCTCTCTCTGTGTCTCTTATGAATAAATAAGTAAAATCTTAAAAGAAAAAGAAAAACCAGGCAGTGACCAGACTAGGTCGGGGTCTATGGACCATGTTGATGATTTGGGTAAGCTGTTGAAAGGTTTTAAGTTTATGCCCTACTTGTGTGTAGATGGAATAAATAATACATTCGGTCTGTGTGTGTTCATTTCAAATACATGAGAGATTCTGTTGTGATGGATATAATGCAGATTTATTTGAGTGTGATTTAATGTTCAGCAACCATTAGTTACAATGCATTTCTTAACATATACAAATGAGGATTGGAAGGATCTGTGAAGTACTGTAATGGGTCTTAATACTCAGGTTGAGAATTTGCTTCAAGATGAAAAAATAACCATTTACATTATCACTTTGAGTCATGGAGATCAGACTGTCACGTATAAAAAGGCCTTTTGTTTTCAGGTTTGGTTTTGTTGCGTTTATGTTTCTCCTACCATAGTTTTTTTAGGTCACCTTAATTGTAACCCTTTAATTAGTACTGATTTTCAGTGGATGATATATAGAACTTCAGGTTAGAAGACTAGTAGGATGAGGCAATGATTAATTCCGTATGAGTCATGGCCAGACACTAAGGAACTTGTGGTGCAGATACAAGATTGGTTAGGTGGTTTTGTATACTGTAATGTGGAGTGATGTTCAGCATGTGCTGTTAGGTAGGAATATGTAGATTAAAGAAGAGGAGGGGTAGCTGAATTCTGGAAACTCTAAATTAGTAACTTGGGAATCCCTGAAACTAGGGAATTTCTTATCATTAGGAGGAAAGAGTTTCTTGATATGATAGAGGATTTGTCAGATGACAAAGTGGGTCTTTGTTCTAGTATGTATGTATAAAGTATGTTCCAGTTCCCAGCTGTTTCCACGGTAGGAGTATCATCAAGGCCTGACTTTTAACTCATTTGAATCTGGGACTTTATTCCTGTGGGTTTGCACCTCCTATTTTATGATAGAAGCCAAATAAAATATGCTTTAATTACCACTGTTTTTATATTTGTTCTACAGGAGTTTGATAAAGAAGTTAAAAGTTTTGTGTTTGTCCTGGAAGGCAGCAGCCAAACAAACAAAATTCAGTTACCAAGAGAGAATAAGCAAATCCGTAAGTAAGATTTTTAATATTAAAGCTTAGCATTTGCTTCTTAAAGTTATACTTTTAGGTCTACTACACAGACATTAGTTTGACTTTTACTGGTATCTTTTAACTTAAAGTGATAAGTTTGTTTTTAATTTATAAATTAACCTTATACTAGGCTTTATGTATGTATAAATGTTATATAAATATATATTAAATTGGGATGCCTGAGTGGCTTAGGGCATGATCCTGGAGTCCAGGATCGAGTCCTGCATTGGGCTACTTGTTGGGAGCCTGCTTCTCCCTTGGCCTGTGTCTCTGCCTCTGTCTCTCTCTGTATCCCTCATGAATAAATAAGTAAAATCTTAAAAAAAAAAAAAGAAATTTGAATTACCTTTTAAAATATATATATTAAATTATATAGGTATATGTAGTCTGCTTCACCATTGATTCAAAATCTAGAATTATTTATTTTTTTTAGATCTTATTTATTTATATATAGAGAGAGCACACGAGTGAGCTGGAGCAGAGGGAGAGGGAGAGAGAGAATCCCAAAGAGACTCTGCACTGAGTGCAGAACCCAATGTGGGGCTCAATCCCACAACCCAGGAACCATGACCTGGCTGACATCAAGAGTCTGATGCTTAACTGACTGAGCCAGCCAGGCACCCCAAGAAGTATTTTCAAGAAGGTTTAGATTATTTGATAGCCATTGATTATCATAGTAATGGTATTTCTTGAGTAATTACTATGTGCCTATGACTTGTCTAGCATTTCGCATTCATTGACTCTTTTAACCCTGATACCAGTTCTTTTGCAAAGAACACATTGAGGTTGGTTCTTCATCAAGAAATCGGATAATTGGGACACCTGGGTGGCCCAGTGGTTGAGTGTCTGCCTTTGGCTCAGGGTGTGATCCCAGAGTCCCAGGATCGAGTCCTGCATCAGGCTCTGCATGGAGCCTGCTTCCCCTCCCTCTTCCTTTGTCTCTGCCTCCTGCCTCTCTCTCTCTCTGTGTCTCTCATGAATAAATAAATAAAATCTTAAAAAAAAAATCGGGTAATTAAGGGTAAACTGTGAAATAAACCCAGAACTTCCTAAATTATAGGACCAAATTTGTAAGAAAAAAGTTGACTAAAATACTATAGAAGACATTACTATAAGTGACACATTAACTTGTTGACTAAAATACTATAGAAGATATTACTATAAGTGACACATTAACTTGTATACCTTCAAGAATATTAATATCTAATATATGTAGATACAAATATGTGCTTCAACAAAAGCCCAAAGAGTAGATTTTTCAATTCTTTCTTACTTTGGAAATTAGGATCAGCATTTTAAAGCAGAAGGGACCTTGAGAGAATACCTGAATTTATGATCAGGAGCCCAGTCATTGGCAGAACTGAGGTTAAAATTCAAGGCTGTACCACCAAATTAAGCTTTGAGTAAACTGATGGCAATTTAAGAAATACAATTTTTCAAAATAATTAATCAGATTTCATCAACATTATCCTATGTATTAACTATAGATTTTAGGTAATATATTTTATATAAGCAGCCAGTTATTTCTTATGTTGATCGTTTACTTATTTCTTCTTCATTAATTATGAACATTTATTGAACACCTACTGTGTACCAGGTATTATGAAACGACCTGTTCTTGGTACCTGATTTTCTCATTTAATTCAGTTTTCTAAACTTTCTCAGGCTCTGTTTGTCTACTACTTTAAGCTATTAACATGCATACTATAGATTTCTAAGACATAAACAGAGCCATAGAAATTATAGATGGAAGATTAATTTTAAAATGGTTTGCCAGTGTTTCTTTCTAAAATAAGAAAAAACCTCGAAGAGAAGGGATAATCTTTGTTAAAATCATTTTTATTAATTTACTACCATTTTAAAATCATGATTTTCTCATAATTCCTGTTTTTTTAAACAATAGTTTTTTTTTCATTTCCACAAAAATTTATACACTTATAAATGAGGTGAACTAAAATGAGTCAGAGAAATATGTTTGAAACTGTGGGTTATTCTTGTTACAGGAGACGTGGTCCATCTGTTATTAAGGATATTGACTTTGTGAGATAAATACATGTGATTTGCAGGAATATGACTTTGTTCTAAACCAGCATTCTGTCGTTGGCCTATACTTCTATGCAATGCCCTTAGTATCTATGCACGTAATCATGTTATTGATAAAATCAAATCAGTTCTAGTAACCTTTCTCAGTTGGATCTGAGAAAGATTTCTCCTCTACCAACTACTCAGTGACTAAAGAAAAACTCCCTTTTCCTACATTTATCTAAGATTTTTTTTTAGAAATAAGACAAATTTAATGTATTATAATTACTTTTTAAAAGGAAAAATGATAGTTTTAATTGGAAGAAACAGAAGAATCTTTAATGTATTTCTTATACAATGTCCTGTAATTAAAAATTAATCTGGCTCTTCTGTAGCATGTGTGGTACTGTAACAAATGACACAGTTTATAGAGCCTGCCCTGAATTAATGCCTTTAAGATTAATTATTTGCAGTTTTTGATAACAGTACTTTATAGGTATTTTTACTTGTCTGTGTGAAGTTATTCAATTAAATGGCATGTCTTGAGTAGAGGATTGGTTTTCAATTAACATTTCTAAATTTAGTTCAGTTACCATTATGTATTCCTGTTTCAGGAGTAAACATCTACGTTACTTATGCAAACTTGACATTAGGTACCCCATATGTATTTCTCATAATATTAGGTACTTAGGAAAAAAGCTGAATGACGAAAGTATGTTCAACTTTTAATTTTTTTTAAGATTTTATTTACTTATCTGAGAGAGTTTTTTTTTTTTTTTTTAAAGAGAGATTGAATGAGAGAGAGGGAATACAAGCAGAAGGGCAGAAGGAGAGGGAGAGACAGATTCCCTCCTGAGCAGGGAGACCAATACAGAGCTCTATCCTAGGACCCCAGGATCATGGCCTGAGCCAAAGGCAGATGCTTAGCTGACTGAACCACCCAGGTGCCCCTTAACTTTTCATTTTAAATAGTGATATTTCTGTATTCTATTTGAGCATCTCTAAATGTCAGTTTTGTTTGTATTTTACTTAACGTGTTATCAAATAAAGGAAAATATGATATTGATGATCAGATTGTATACTTCTCTGGTGCAGGAATCTTAACACCATCCACTTTGAACCCCTAACTTAGTATATCGTATGTAGTTGGTGTTTAAGAAGTTTGTTAAATTTGCCCCATTAAGAAACTATAACAATTGGGGTTATAATTTCTAATTGTAACCAGTTTGCCTTCATGACCACAATTAGCCAACTAAATAAATCCATGCTGCTCTTCATCCTGGATCGTGCTATGGAGTTGCTCACATGAGATGCAGCATTGTCACACATGAGCCTCTTTCATTTAGATGGTCTGCCTCAGGACTTTCAATCTGAGGCTTTTATTTGAAACCATTGTTTTCTCTGCCAATGGCATCTGAATTTTATGGTGTGTCTCTTGGGATCAGCATCCCTGAAGCCTTGTGTTTATCTAAGTTTCAGCTGCTCTGGAGAATGACATCATTTTTATCGGGTTCCTCCCAAAATTTCCCCCACTCCCACTTTGGTATTGGTTTTAAAATAAATGTCACCATGACTTGCTCTGTTTAAAACCCTTCAATGGGGCAGCCCCGGTGGCTCAGCGGTTTAGTGCCGCCTTCAGTCCAGGGCGTGATCCTGGAGACCTGGGATCGAGTCCCATGTCAGGCATCCTGCATGGAGCCTGCTTCTCCCTCTGCCTGTGTCTCTGTCTCTGTCTCTCTCTCTCTCTCTCTCTCTCCCTCTCTCCCTCTCCCTCTCCCCCTCTCCCTCTCCCTCCCTCCCTCCCTCCCTCCCCCTCTGTGTCTCTCATGAATGAATAAATAAAATCTTTTAAAATAAATAAAACCCTTCAATGGCCTTGACCTCACCACTTTACTGATAATACTCTTGTCAGGGTCGCTAGTGATTTCTGTATTCCTGAAGCCAATGGCTTGTTTTCAGCCCTCATCTTGCTTGACCTTATTGGCAGCATTTGACAAAGTTGACACCATCTTCCTTGGTATATTCTCTTCACTCCTCTTCTAGGATTCCCATCCTCTGAGTTTCCTTTCTACTTCACTGGTCTTCCTTTTCTAGTTTCCTTTCATAATATTCCTCTCTCCAACCCAGTTGGCTATTGCAGTGCCTGTAGACCTGACCCTTGACACTATCTATCTATATTTAGTCCTTTGGTTATCCTTGCTAGTCTCATGCTTTTAAATACCATCTCTCTCTTACTCCAGCCTGCATTTATTTCCAAGTCAGACTTCTCTCTCAGACTCCAGTCTTGTATTTTCAGTTGCTTATATGACATTTCTATTTGGACAGCTTTACCCCAGAAATTACTCCTACTGCTACAGACAACCATATCGCCCTTGTTAGCAACTTGTCTTTTCAGTAGCTCAGAAAAGAGACTTCAGTTGGTTCAATTTTTCTTCTCTTCATTCAGTCCATCAGGAAAACCTTGTTGGTTCTTCAGCTTACATTTTGAGTCTGACTCCAACTTCTTGTCACTTCCAATGCCACTAAACCTCATACTTGGAGCAGCTCATGCATTCATCTTCTCATTGCCCCCTGCCCCTGTTTTTTTTACTTGCCTCCCTACAGTTTCGGCTGGGGCAATACTTTCAAATGTAAAGCTCTCTGCTACTAGAAATGCCCCATCCCTCTGAGTGACAACCAGAGATCTGTAGGACCCTGAAGTTTCTGGTGCCCTCTGAACTTTCTGACCTTGTCTCCTGTTACTCTTGCTGTTGTTCACTCTGCTGTGACTGTACAGGTCTCCTTGCTGTTTGCAAACACAGCATAGACCTATCACCTTCATGCCTGTGTGCAAACTGGTAACTGGCTGCCTGGAGTTGTCTTTTCCCAAATAGCTGCATGGCTCATCATCTCCCCTTCTTTAGGTCCTTACTACGGTGCCATCTTCTCCATGACAGCCCACCCTGCCCTGTAATTTATAGCCCTCCCACACTCTTGGTCCCTTTTTCCTTTTTCTACTTTTCCCTATAGTCCTTAATATTTAACATGCTATTTGTTTCTTAGGGTTTTGTTTTTATTGTTTTTCTCACTGTTGCCAGAGGTAAGCACCCCCAGCATAGAAAATTAGTCTATTTTGTTCGCCTAGAATAGTGCCTAACACATGGTAAACATTCAGTAAATCTCTGTAGAATAAATTAACAAATATATGAATGGATTCCCATTGATCTTAGGATGACATATATCCTTCATGGCCCTGAGTAATTGAGATCCTAGCTATTTGCCAGAATTCCCTCCTGCTGCTTTTCCCTTTCTGTCTATCAGCCCTTTGTATCTTCAGATTCATCCACTCTCATGGTTTTTCTCATCACATCATGGAGTATTCCCTCTCCTTAGGATATTCCTTCATCTCCCTCACTCACTTAACCCCTGATCTTTCTTCCCAGCTGAATTCCAGTATTATTTCTGCCAGAAAACCTTCACTGATCATCCTCTTCCCTCCAGTGACCCAGGATTTTATACTTTCATTGCACCCTGACCTTCTTCCTGGAACTAGAATATAAGCCCCAAGAGAGTAGAGACAATGTCTGTCTTACTCACTACAAAAACATTTTCACATTGAGTCTAGTATGTAGTAGATGCTCAATAAGTCTTTTCTGAATGATAGATCCAACTTAACCCATACAAATAATCCTATGAGGTATATATCAAATTTGTTAGCCCAGTTTTACACATGAAGTTAAAAGAGCCCAGAGTGGGGATCCCTGGGTGGCGCAGCGGTTTGGCGCTTGCCTTTAGCCCAGGGCGCGATCCTGGAGACTTGGGATCGATTCCCACGTCAGGCTCCCGGTGCATGGAACCTGCTTCTCCCTCTGCCTGTGTCTCTGCCTCTCTCTCTCTATCTCTCTGTCACTATCATAAATAAATAAAAATTTAAAAAAAATGTTTAAAAAAAAAAAAAGAGCCCAGAGTGGTCTTATGATTTTCCCGAGAAATATAGAATGACCCAAATTAGAAATATAACTGTTTCCTGCCTTATGGGTTGAAGTGGGAGAGGTGCCCCTGAGTGAGTTGTTCACACCAGGAATCAGGAAATCGTTTCAGTCTACCTTAGCAGGGTACTTGTAAAGGATGACTGTAATTGTGTTCTTGTCTCAAACCCTTGGATGACAAAAAACACACTTGTGAGATGTGCATGAGGTATACAACTGTCACTGGCTCTAATGAAACAACTGTAAAACCACTGTTTAAAAACCTGATGGTGTTTTACCAGTCCTCTGTGTTTTAAAATATTTAAAGGAAATATCCTTATATTAAGAGGAAAGGGCCTATCCTCTTAAAAATAGAGGTAGCTTATCTCAGCAGAGAACAGATTACAAAACTGCAGAAACCTGTATGTTTCAGTAAAAAGACTAAATTTTTATGAATTTTATATACTTGATGGGCATTTTTTTTTTTACAAATAGTTAACATTCAGCATTACTTAGTGATTTTCGACATAATGTAGACATGAAGAGTCATTTTAAATTTACTAGGCCACTGGAAAAAAATATTGCTATAGAGTTTATTTAGCATTTCTGACACACAGGATCAGTGTGGTGTCAAATGTTATTAAAGTGCTTTTTTTCTTTGTCAGATCATCACCATATGGTATTGTCATACTTCTTTTAATCTTAGGAGTGAAGCCTTTTGGAAACTAGGGCTTCTATATGTGAGAAAGTTGAATTACAAAGTTTTCTTTTTTTGAGGGCAGGTGTCTTTCATATCTAAAAATGTTCATAGGAAAATGCCCTACATGTGTAGTGTGGCTCATTGTGTTTGAAAAGAATAATGCTGATTCAGTGAGTCTTGTGACACAATTTAGGGACCTTTGTAAAGACAGATTTCATTTATCCAGTGCTCTCTCAGCTCTATATACAGAGGCCATTGTGCAATGGAAAAGTGCCACAGGGCCCATCAACAGAAGATGCCAGAGATTGATTAATGATGATTTATTTAAGTTGGCCTAATTTTGGTATCTTGCTTTTGTTTTGTAGTCCAGAACTCAGGTTGCTTTGTTGGCTTTTCCCATAAATATGGTAAAATCCAGTTCTAGAGTCAAATTTCCAAAGTCAGAGCCTGTTATCCCTTATTCCCATTATATTCCTACTCTATGGATAGCTCTCAGGAGCAGTTTGTAAGCTTAGCATTATAAGTAAAAGTTATTCTTGATGTTTGATTTAAAAGATATTAAACAGATTTGACCAAATATGTTTATTTTGTAGAATCTAAATTTCAGTTAAAGTATGGGAACTATATAAATTGTTCAGGAATGTTGCAAAACAGTTTACCAAAGGAATTATAAACCAGAAGGTATGTGGAGATTCTCCAAACATTTATTGTTAAAAATAAGCAAACCAACAAACATGTATTGTTACTTTGAAATACTTAAATTTGTTAAGCCTACTGAGTTGGAATAAATAGAAAATAATATGCATTTTAGACTAGTTGCCTTCTTTTTTCCAAGTGTTTCCTTGTACTGTTAGATTTGTAGGAGAGGTTCACAGAAAAGTCAGGACATTTCTGTTTCCTATAGAAGTCCTACATGAGGAAGTTCCTAAAAGGCATATTTTAGGAGGAAGTGATTCTAAAACATCGATTAGGAGCATCATAATTGAGAAATCAAGCAAAAGTTCAAAACCTAAGAGAAAAGGAATTAAGTGAAAGGGTCTGAAGAGGTAATATAAAATCAATTGATTTTTGAAACAGTTGTAGACTTCAGCTATCAAAAATGCCATAGAGGTTGGTTTTTCTTCAAATATTTTTAATTCAAATGAAGCTGGTAGTGAGGAATAAAAGTGATCAGTTTGTAGTTTGTGAGCACTGAATTTATTAAAAGCATGTTAAATTAACAAAAGGCATTATAAATGAATATATGTTCCTGCATCCATCTCCCTGTGGACACATTTAAAACCATATGAACTAGCTATGGTTCATCAAATCTTCAATTGTAGTTGTCATAATTAGAATTGTTTTTCTTGAACTATAGTTTTTTATTAAGTTGTTTAGTACACTTAAAACTGTCAGTGGATAGAAATAATTGCCACATGCTTTTATGGCTGCCTTAATGGGAATCTGTAGTACAATTTTAAATGTCTCTATTGAATGCAGTCCTATGTATACATTGCAACCCAATAAAAATAGTAAAAAATTATTATTTTTTAAATTTTCATAAAAATTTCACCAAACCTACAGATGGGACCTTAAAAGACAACATTTTTTTGTTAGAGTTTGATTTGTCTTTCATCAAGTTTTTTGCTTTTATAATGAAGTTGTAAGTCACGTAATACCATTATAGTTCTACTATATTATTGAAATGTAAAAAGCTTCTGGCTGTTGATGGTGTGTGATTGTTTGTTTACATGCACGTATAAATGGTTCAGACATACAAATGTATACTTTCCCCCTCTCATTCTAGTTGGACTGATCCAGAGGTTTCTTGTACTTCAGATTTACATACCCCTGGGACAAGACTTCTCCACTGAATTGCTGTAAGATATACAGAACTTCTTTCAATGTTTTTTGTGTATTAGACATTTGATCAATTGAAGCAGTATGGACAGTCATTAATTACAAGTGACAGTTTTTGCATTAAAGAGCAGTGACTTATCAAGTTGACATGAAGTAATTAAACTAATTTAATCGTATTTCTCAGATATCATTATAGTCTGGCATTTCCCTAGGGGAAAAAGGCAAATTTCATCCGTTTAAGAAAATATCAAAGGATTATGAATTTGATAATAAACAGCCTATAACATGCAGAAACAAATAATCCAAAAGTTTGAGATTTCGGTTCAAATGAGGGGTAATTTTGTACTCCCTCCTATCGAAAACCATGCTTGGATTAAAATTGATCTCAAAATATCTCATTTTAAAGTTGTTTAGTTTAGAAATATTGGTTGACATCTGAATGGCTTGGAATATATTTGTTTTAAATAGCCTTGCTATGAACAGATTGTTTAGCAAAAATGAGAATATACAACTTTAATTCAGTTGAGCTGTCTGTTGTCTGAGATGATTGTGAGAATGAAAATAACATTTGATTTATGCATTCATATAAAATAGAATATTGCTTAAGATTTTATTAATACATTTGCACTTTTAGTAAAACATCAGATTTAAGGTATGCTGTTTTCTCACTTTTCTTTGTAATTAATAGCTGTCCAGGGCCTAAGCTCAGTCTTTTATTTTCCCTGCTGGAATAAATGACTTTACCTACTAATGAAGGTAATTTTTTACTAGTTGCATTGGTGCAAACTGAGGGGAAAGAAGAGCTTTCTTAATAAAATGAGAATAACATAAATTTGAGGTTATTCATTTGTCTTTGTGCACATTAAATTATTAATGGTTTGTGTTTATGTTGGAAAAATATAAATTTTAGATAATAATATACAATATTGTTTTCTTGACTGATGAAAGACGGATGGAACAATTTATACCTTCGTTTTATTCAACTTTAAACCTTAGTAAACTTTGGAGATTTTCTATTGTCATCCACCATGGTTACCATAATTCTTTAAAATAGTTCTTAGAGTAACAGCACCAAAACACTATTTGATGCTCTTATGTGTGTTTCCCTGGTTCTGCAGATAAAGCATTTTCAAGACTCTAAAGGCATTCTGAAAGTGCAGAGAATACCACATAAAGCCTTATTTCCAGGGTAGGGGAAAGTGGTTTCCTACCAAATGGAAGTAGGCAAACTGTGTTTTATTTTTAAGCTTATTAAGTTCCTTATATAGAAATCTAGTGCAGTGCCTTTTTCTCTTCTGATATCTTTCACCTGTGCTTTTGAGAGTGTTCAGAAGTAGTGGTAGGGGCACTGGTAGTTGGCCTTCTGATCAAAGATGTGCAAGATGCTTGGCTTAACCTCGGAGCAGAGTCTTACTGATGAGCACTCTTTGCCTATGCAAAAATAATCTTTATTTGTGCCCCACCAATACTTGAGCTTATTACCATAGGCTTGGCAATGTACTGTTTTAACTATGTTAATGGTATCTAAGGCTTTAATGATTGAGAAATGGACAGGTATGTTAGGTTTCACTTAGTCTCAGCAAGAGAGCAGCTGATACAGGTAATCCTGACTACACCTTGATTACCCAATTATTAATGAACGTTCTTGGCCAACTTAGGGATGGGAAAACATTTTCATGGCTGATGAGATTATTAATTAGATTATTTTTTTAAGATTTTATTTATTTATTCATGAGAGACACAGAGAGAGAGAGAGAGGCAGAGACACAGGCAGAGGGAGAAGCAGGCTCCATGCAGGGAGCCTGACATGGGGCTTGATCCTGGGACTCCAGGATCATGCCCTGGGCTGAAGGTGGCGCTAAACCGCTGAGCCACCCGGGCTTCCCTATTTATTAGATTTTTAATTCATCTGTCTATCATCATAGATTCTCTTCTCATATCTGCATGGACAAGCATTTGGATTTTTCAAATGGCTTTGGTTTTAACAAAATAAATGTCTTATGGACAAAAGGTCAAAATTATTAAATAACATGGGAAAGATGGAAAGACATTCCCTGTCCTGACCTTATGAATTTATTAGGTTATAAGGAAATACATTAACTCTGCATTTGAATTTGTTGCTAATAGATAATCAATATTTTGCCATTTTAGAAAGTAATGACAGAGACCATATTTTTTTTTCTTTTAGAAAGTATATGTTTTTTTTTTAATTTTATAAATTAATTTTTATTGGTGTTCAATTTACCAACATACAGAATAACACCCAGTGCTCATCCCGTCAAGTGTACCCCTCAGTGCCCGTCACCCATTCACCCCCACCCCTCGCCCTCCTCCCCCTCCACCACCCCTAGTTCATTTCCCAGAGTTAGGAGTCTTTATGTTCTGTCTCCCTTTCTGATATTTCTCACACATTTCTTCTCCCTTCCCTTATATTCCCTTTCACTATTATTCATATTCCCCAAATGAATGAGAACATACACTGTTTGTCCTTCTCCGGTTACTGTGGCCAAGTTCAAAAAGGGTGTTGCCTGAGTTCTCCTCTGGGATTTTGATGGAATCTTGTCTCACATTTAGATCTTTCATCTATTTTGAGTTTATCTTTGTGTATGGTGCAAGAGAGTGGTCCAGTTTCATTCTTCTGCATGTGGATGTCCAATTTTCCCAGCACCATTTATTGAAGAGACTCAGAGACCATATTTTTATAAGAAAGTAGAATGACGAGTATAGACTAACTACAGCTTTTTTTTTTTTCCTCAAATGAAAGGGCTTCCTTTCAGCACCCTTAGTGTTTTACTGTGTTTCTAGCAGCATAGCTCCAGGCTATTTTAAATAATATATTTCTCTAACAAGCTTGAAAAGTCATATAGCAGAAAGATACCTGGCTTCTAAAATTTTCCATTGTCAGAATGGGAGAGGCATTTTGTTTCACAAAGATACATTTATACATCAAGAGGTTTTCATAAGGGATCCCTGGGTGGCGCAGCGGTTTGGCGCCTGCCTTTGGCCCAGGGCGCGATCCTGGAGACCCGGGATCGAATCCCACGTCGGGCTCCCGGTGCATGGAGCCTGCTTCTCCCTCTGCCTGTGTCTCTGCCTCTCTCTCTCTCATTCTATGTGACTATCATAAATAAATAAAAAAAATTTAAAAAAAAAATAAAAAAAAAATAAAAAAAGAGGTTTTCATAAGTGGAGTCTTACCAGCTGGATTGTGGATGTAATCGCCATTTCTTCAATATCATCCTGTGTGTCTCATGTCCCTTAGATGGTGATACTGTTTATGGAGAGATCATGCATTTGTGGGTTAGTGGTTGCCTTAGAACCAGCAAGAGCTCTGCTTGAGTAATCACTCGTTCAGTTGGTTCCTAAATTACTGAATCCCTATTCCTATCAGGCCGCGTGTTAGGGGTATACTTTTTCCTACCCCTTCTTCTATGCTCCTAGCCCTAGACTGCCATCACCTTGTCCCTCATCTGCTGTTGAGCATCCACATGGATTTCCCAGATTCTTCTGCCTTTTTTTCAGCTTAGTCTCCAAACTGCAGCTAGCATGATCTTTCTAAAAACCAGCTGGAATTCCCATTGTACTGAGCATAAGCTCTTTAATGTTCTTCATGGTCATGTGTGTTCTGGTCCTTCACCTCTCACTTCTCATCTCATACCTCTCTGCTCTGAGCTCATCATTTGTCAGCCAGACTGGTGCCTGGCTGGCCATCCTTGCTTTCCCTTCCTCACACACTAAGGTGAAAGGTCTTTTCTTAGGATAATGTGCACAAGTGGTTTCTATACCCATTTCTTTGCCTTGCTAACTCCTACTCAGTCTTCTCATCTCCATTTGTATGTCTCTTCTTCAGAAGGGCTTTTTGGATTTTGCCCCACTAAATGAGTTTCATCTTGTATACTCTTTTCTAGCACTCTGTTCTTTTTTCCTTCTTTACAACTATACCAGTTTGTAATTCTATACTTACTTGATTATCTTTTGTGGTAGATTTTGAGTTCCATGAGGACAGGGACCCATGTGTTCTACTCAGCATGATATGTCAGCACCTAACAATGCCTGGCACAAAAGCTCTGAAATCTGGATGAGTGGGCAGTGGGGCCTAATGGATTCAAATGAATGAACAGGACCCAGTCCCTGTCCTCAAAAGAGTTTATTCTTAAGGTGAAAGATAGTTAAAAGGCAATTTAAATTTATCTTGATAAATGTTACTATGACATAGGAGCAGGACCTGCAGGTAACATGTGAAGTTATAAGGGATAAGTAAGAGCATAATCTGGACCTGGACAGATCCAGTTTCAAGTCCTGCTTTACATCTGTGTGCCTTTGGGCAAATTACTTAACTCTCCTCACCTGTGGAGTGAGACTAAGATTATTTACTTCACAGGTGTGTCATAAGAATGCAGTGAGAAAATTAACAGGAAGTAATAATGGCTCACATTTAATAAGCTATATACTGGACATTGTCCCAATCACTGTTTTAGCTGGATTAATTCTCAGAATGAACCTCTATGGTAGTCATAATTATTGCCTCTGTTTTACCATTAAGGAGATTGAAGTCTGGAAAGGTTAAGGAATTTGCCACAAGTTATAGACCTACTAACTCTTAGAGCCAGAATTCAAGCTTACAGTCTAAATGTGGAACCTCTGCTCTGCATCACCATGCCATGCTGTTGCACTTGAAAATACTATTTTTCTATACTACTATGCATATGGACATATGTAGTAGGGATATTTTATTTGAATCCTGTGTAAGATGACAGTGCTCAGCCTTCTGTGTCTTCCGTAGGGGCTTAGTGTAATACAGTGTTCTTATTAGAGCTCCAGGAATGAAAGGTCTTTAATTCTGAGATGTTCTTCTTTCTTCAGAGCTTCATAACCTGACCAGCAAGTATCCAAACACATTACATTTTGGGTGCAGAGAAAAGGGATTGTTTACTTTACTAACGCATAGTGTCTTAGCAATAAAGTTAACAGTTCTTTCTGATTGTTCTTTTGGTATCAATCCACAAAATAAAATCTCCTA